CCTACCAGCAAAAAGTAGCTCGGTACTACAATGCTAGAGTAAAGAAGCGGAGCTTCCGCGTCGGCGACCTGGTTCTCCATAAGATCATGGTACCCGAACCCGGCGTGGGCAAACTTGGACCAAATTGGGAAGGACCATACAGAGTAAAGAGAGTGCTCGGGGGGGGCATACGAGCTCGAAACCTTAGAGGGCAAACAAGTACCCCGAACATGGAACATCATCAACTTAAGGCGATACTACCTATAAACCACCAAGCGAAGTGGACAAAATCGCTATCAGAGCCCAAGGGCTAGGATGCCGAGCTAACAAAGTGGTGACAACGAACTAATAAGGACGTCGACATCTCAGAGACTAAGTGTTTACACCAAAACAGGCCGCGCATGTGCAGTAACCCAGGCAAGAAATAGATCAGGCATATGGTCAGTTCGGCAAATACGGTCAGTTCAGGAGAAAGAAAACAACCAACACTTAACCAAAAGAGATTCCATTCCAAAATAAGGGAGTGTACATTTCGAACGAAAAAAAAAAAAACTTTTTTACATTTCACAGGCCCGGAGCTATTTCTTCATTATCAGAAGGCACTTCAACGACACCCGAAGGTCCTGCCTCGCCCTCGGAATCCAGCTCATCATTAGCAGCATTGGCCATCTTCTGAGTTATGCGCGAAGTGAATATGGTACTGATATCGAGCTCGGGGTACGTACTGAGTTAGCTTGAAATCCCTTCGGTACGAGTCCACCATTAGGTCGTCAAAGCTCGGAGAGGCGATGTACTCATCGAACAACCTTCTTCTTGGCATCTTCAATACCTTGAGAAAAGATCTGCGTCCTCTCCCTAATGTCCTCCTGAAGGTATTCGACCTGATGCTGCAAATCCAGCCTCAGGTCCACCATGTGCTTCACTACGACTCCCATGGCCTCGGCATCTCTTTGAGACCTCGCCTGCCTGGCCTCTGCAGTGCGAGCAGCCGCCTCAGCAGCTTGGGAAGTCGCCTCTGCAGCACGGAAAGCCTCTTCGGCAGCTCGCGCCTGCCTCAAGCTCCTTTCCACCTGGGCTGCCAAGGCATGGATAGAAGAATTCACCTACCAAAAGGGAAGAACAAGTGATCAAAAGGACGACAGCAAGAGGGATAAAAGCAGAGAGCCCGACAAGAAATCTGACTTACCACCATGGCATGAGTAACAGCGCGACAGGCCACCTAGTTCAAAGGAAGTCCACGCCGCGACCTCCTCGGGGAAAATGGCCTCCCTACTCTTCTGAAGAGCGTGGTTCAGCGACAACACGCTCCTAAATTCCCCTTGGGCTCCCGAGCCTGAGGGCCCAGCTCGCGTATAAAAAGACCCAGAGTAAGTAGGAGCCCCCGAGTAAGTGGGAGCCCCTATGTAAGTAGTCTCGGCATAAGGGGCCCCTACCGCTTCTTGCATTGGAGGAGCCATCTCGGGCTCCCTGGGCGGATCCTCTGACGGGTAGTCTGGCACCTTGGGCTCTGCAACTCGGGGCAGCTCGGCATGAGTTCGTTTGGCGACTCGCTTCCTCCTCTTCATGCCTTGAAACAAATGCCCACCACGAGTCTCTCCTGAGTCCATCACACCTGCAAAAAGAGTTCGGCATCAGAAAAAACAAAACAACAGAGCAAAACAAGAAAACCTTTTGTAAGGAACCTACCCGAGCTCAGGCCGGCCGCAATGAGTTTGGCCTCCGTCAGATACTGATGGCATTTTAGCCCAAGCCGTGCCCATTGCCGGAGGCCCTTCACCGTCTCTTTATCAAGCGTAACACCGGAGTCAGGG